TAGATAGATAGATAGATAGATAGATAGATAGATATGGCTCGGTCCTATCGAAAAAGGACGTTAAACTCTGAGGTCCTGCTTTTTGTATAACCTAAAAGTGTTGATAGGGGCGTTAAACCTATACCATTTCCCTACTATTCCACCACAGGTCCTGAAAGCGGCCGACACGTTCGTGTTCGAGAAGAATCGCGTGATCAAGTCTGACCTGCTCCAGGCACAGTTCACCATCCTCCGGAACAACAACATGCAGTGCCAGCAGATCGTAGTGTTCCCGCGGCTCTCCACCCCCTCCGGGCTGGACGTCACCCCGCGACCTAATCACCGCACGTCAGACTTCTACGACGGCATCTACGGCACAGGACCCCCGACCTCTGGAGGTCGCTACGTGACCTACAACCCCATGATCGTCAACAGAAGCAACAACGACGACCCCAGCAAAGTGTCGAACCCCAGCTCCAAACCGGATGTGAAGCCAGAGGGCCCGCCTGAGCCCGAAAAGCCTGGAGCTGTGAAGGGACCGGAGAACGCTGCCGTCGGGGCGCATGCGCAGGGGAGGAACTGGAAGCGGTGCGCCGCCATGTTCCTCTCTGTGTTCGTAACACTAGTTGCAAAACATCTGATGACGTCGTCAAGAACTGTGGATACTCTCGTAGCCGTCAGGGTAACGTGATAGATGTTATTAAAATAATATTTAGAAAGCTAAAGGAAGTAGGCTGTTTTACGTCGCGCTTGATACGATAGAAGCTGCAGTCAAACAGTGTGTATGAGACATGAAGGGACTACCCTAAGACACGTAATTATTTCTCTGTGAATGAACCAGGACAGGAGGGTGCTCAGATATTGATGACGTCATCAGACATTGCTGCTCATGGCTGCGAATTGAGAGTTGCGTATGGACAACTGGGCTCTACACTGCAGCAACTATAGGAAAATAAGAGTGTTACAGATCTCAACTCTCTCGATGAGGGCGTAAAAGACCTCTACATTTTTGTAAAAAGCAACATCAGCTCTGAGTGTGAGCCTGTTCACCAGCTGCGTTTTCAAGTTCGTGTGAAGCACAAACTGGAGGAGAACAAAAAAAGATGTCGTTTTTCTTAAATTTTCTTGAATCTAGATAACGTCGGATAAAGTGTAAAGGCTATGCTGCTTTCTCTTGAGTGTCTTTTAAGCTTTATAAACTTGTGAGGGTTGCACATGAAGAAAAAAAAACATATCCGTATAGAATAATTGTATGTCTGTGACTTTCTGTTTCTGCAATGAATATGTAGGGCTTTTTTTTGTTTGCTTTTTTCCTTTATTTTACTTTTCTAATCTAGCGTGGCAACGAAAAACAGAGTTTATGAAAGTGAAAGAGAGTGTTGAAGTGCTAAAGAGAAAACAATTATTATTTAGCAATTGCACAGAAGCAGGACCTACAAGTGTCGCCTCCAATCACCCGCGATATAAAATAGAATTTTGCTCACTGCTTGCATTAACACTTTTGCTTCTTATCCGTAATACACATCGTTAGCAAATAATATTGTCCTGCCATATAGACATAGAACGGGAAGCAAAGGGTGAATATTATTCGTTTCTGTTTTTTAAACGTGAAATCAAATCTTTATTTTCAGTGGATGCTGTATTTGTGTTTGTGTGAGAGAGAGAGTGTGTATTTGTGTGTGTGTTTGTGTGTGTGTGTGTGTGTGTGTGTGTGTGT